CTGCTGAACATCAGGATGTTCGGGAAACAGCTGCATGCAGCTGTGCGCCTTCAACCCGTGCTGGGGGTCTCTGCTGCCCGAGCCACGCGGCAATGCCCTCCCTCCCGTTCTTGGGGGGTCGGGCTTGGGTGCAGGACTCGGACGCGATGGCTGTCACGGTCCCGTCTGGTCCGGCTGCCTGCGCCCCACCCCCTGCCCAGCCTTGTGGTGGCCGGTGCGGGGTCCTTATCCCTCCCACGTTGCGCTACGAGGCCCATATGTGGCCGCCTGGGTAGTCTCTCCACCCCATGGGCTCCCAGCACTCCTGGCCACCCCGTCTCGCCCAGCATCTCCCTCTGCTCCTTGGCTCTTCATCCACACCCAAGCGCCACAAACACGGAGGCCACAGGGGAGCTGGAAGCTGGCCCTGCCGCCCCCACGGGACAGGCACCCGGGTCTGCCCGCCTCCACCCGCCGAGCTGGCCCCAGGCACGGAAAGGAGAGATGGAGAAGACATGGGGAGGAGGATGAATCTACCCCTCCTTCTGCCCTGGGAGGGTGACGGATGCAGGAGCATCGCTGGTGCTCTCGGAGGGCGGCGGACGCCATGCCAGCTCCCACCGGGAGCCCAGCCTGTGATGGGAGAGCACCCTGTTTGGGGGCAAAACCTCTCTGAGGGATGCCACCGAGCCAGGCAGCCGGGCACAGCATCTCTGCTTGTGCTAGCAGGGCTTTTGGCACCTCCCAGCCATGCCGTCTCCCCGCGCCGTGCCCGACTCCCACGCTACCCATGCAGGGGGCCGGCGGGGGCCCGTGCAAGCTTCTGGAGTGGTCGGAAAGGAACAGGAACACCCCGGGGGGCTCCTGGCACAGCCCCCGGCAGAGCCCAGCTAGCTTGCGGCACGCGGTACCTCTCTTTAAGGCTCCTGACACAGGGAGTTAATGCCACGGCAATCTCATAAGCCCGATGAGAACACACAGAGTATTGAGCGAGTGATAAAATGGAGATGAGTTTGAGGAACTGGAGAGATTTAATAAAGAAACAAGGTGTCGACCGTGTAATTTATGCACAGAAAAGATAGATCTCGACAAGGCTAATATCTTATGTCAAGCAAACAACTCGCTGGTATCCATCGCTCCTGTTCCCAAATATGTGCTTTTAAAAATGCAGGTTTAGGAGGAAAGCCTTGAGCTATCCTGCCAAGGAAACGCCACTTGCTCCTGGTCAGGTCCTGGCTCCTTGCCTTGACCTTACATGAGCATCCAGCAACCCCACCTCCAGCAAACCCCGCAGTCCGAAAGGACGGTCTGGCGCCGGGCCCCCGCGTTGGCTCCGAGCGGCCGGAGGAGCCCTTCCTGCCGGGGAGCGGCACAGAAATGCACGGGGCTTTGCTGCGGCTGGAAGGGCCTGCGCTCCAGATTTTGCCAGCAGATTCCTGCAGCAGAGGCCATGTCTTTCTTATTCTGCAACGCACTCGTGCCTGGGATGGTTTATTATTCATGCCTGTGGGGCTACCGCACATCCTGGAGTCGCTGAGATAGTCCCAGAGGGAAGGATGGGGGGATAACGCCGCCTCGGCACTAGGTACTACCCCGGCGGCTGCCTTCCTGCCGTGCGACCGGGAGCTGGAGCTCCCACGGCTGCAGTGCCTGGAGGGGGATTTTGCCTTCAAATGCGAAGGAAACCTTCTCTGAAACGCAGTCTCCCACCGTGCGTGCGAACACCTTGCCGCGGCGTGCTTTCATGGTCCCGCCGCGCTGTCTGCACCAGGCCACCTGTCTGCACCCCCCCTCCACAGCCAGATTTGCACAACAGAACAAGCTTAATTATCACCGGGAACTTCCTGCCTGGAACGAGTCTCTGAAGATGTAACGCAATTTCGAAATGCAGCCGAGGCAGCAGAGCCCCCGTGTGATCTCAGCGTGACACCGGCCTGTGAAAAGCGGTGGCATCAGGGCAGTGTGAAGAGTAAAGGCCTGTATCTCCCGGGCGAGCGCAGAGCTCCCGCTGCGTACACGATGCTTTCTTGCAAGAGCCGCGTTGCTGGCGCTGATCCAGGAGGGCAATGCCTTATCGTGGGCCTTGCGAGCGCAGAGATGAGGGCTGTCCGGGGGCCGGGGTCAGAGCCGCCCGGCCGGCCGGGGCTTCGCAGGGTCGGGTGAGCACACCGGCAACGCACATGTGCACCCAGCGGGCGCTTGCTCCCGACCG